AAGCTATGTTATCCTTCATACTTTTCATAAGGATTCAAGGACTACAGAGAAAAAAATTAATTAGAGTTTAGAGATGATTGAACTAAAATACACAAATTCCACCAACTGTACAAAATGTGTTGGAGAGAGAGCCTCATGGTTACACAATACATGGTAATATGGAGAAACTTCAGAGAGCCATGTGTGGGCAGACAATGACGGTGCTGAGCCTTGAATAAAATTGTACTTTATCATCTCTGAAAAGCAATCAAAAGTGAGGAACAAAGACTGAAAAGTAAATTTAGACCAAAATACCTTTATCTCTATAATTTAAGCAATTTACTTTGCTTTCTCATTCTTAAAAATGGTGATCTTCAAATCTGAGGAATTATTCTGTCCTGTTTAGTGTCAGTGGAGGTATATGATTGTTATCTAGCTCCTGAATTAAGTTGCAGAAATTTCAGTTAGAGGAAAGATTGGTTAACTCACAAAGCAGTGATATTTTAACCAAGGCTTCATATCAGAGTCACATGTGGAGGATTTGGAAATATTCGTGCACAATTTCCTCATCCAGGGAGCTGATTGAGTAGATCTGAGATAGGGTATGATAATCAATATTTTTTAAAATTCTGGCTTGGTGCAGTGGCTCACACCTGTAATCCTAACACTCTGGGAGGCCGAGGCGGACAGATCACTTGAGCTGAGGAGTTCACAACTAGCCTGAGCAAGAGTGAGACCCCATCTCTACTTAAAAAATAGAAAAAAATTAGCTAGACAACTTCAAATATGTAGAAAAAATTAGCTGGGCATGGTGGCACATTCCTGTAGTCCCAGCTACTTGGGAGACTAAGGCAGAAGGATTGCCTGAGCACAAGAGTTTGAGGTTGCTGTGAGCTAGGCTGACGCCACAGCACTCTTATGGTTGCCAGCATTCCTTGGCATTTGTCTTTATCACTCCAATCTCTGTGTTCCTCTTCTTCATGTTGCCTTCTCCACTTCTGTCTTTCTTAAATCTCCCTCTACTTTCTTTTATAAAGACACTTGTGAGTGCATTTAGGGCCCGCCCAGATACTCTTCCTATCTCAAGTTCTGTAACATACTCACAGCTTTGAAGTTTTGCCATATAAGGTAATATTAAGACGTTCCAGAGCTGGACAGCTTTGGGGGCTCTGTTATTCAGTCTTGCAACACCACCAGAAGTACTGCCCTCTTGGGGCTAGGCCATAGGGATAAGTTATTTTCCTGAGCTGTCAACTACACCTCCAATTCTAGCCATCCTCACGGTAAATCCCTTTGGTCATAAGGGGACTGAGAGTGGAGGATCCGCGCAGCAAACCCATCATCCTCCCCAACAAAGGCACTTCAAGCATGTGTCCTAGCAACAGTGCCTCTTGTTTAAGCTCATCTTTTAAGAATAGACTATTACAGTGCTGAGCATTATTTGAATCTATTCTGAAATAGGCACAAGCCCGGTTACCTTTTCACGTGGACCCTGATTCAGGCCAGGCATGCATGATGCTCTAAGGCAGGTGTCCTCAAACTACGGCCCGCGGGCCACATACAGGCTGCCTAGCACATTTATCCGGCCCTCCGGGTGTTTTTGCCGCCACTGCCTGTCCTGCTTAGCAGCCGACCCCGGGCCCACAGTGCGCACTCTCCAATGGTCTGAGGGACCGTGAACTGGCCCCCTGTTTAAAAAGTTTGAGGACCCCTGCTCTAAGGGTTAGTCTTAGAGAATGTAGTTAGTTGTTAGTAAACATGGAGAGAAATGTTGTTTCTGAGTCGAACTTCATGAAAAACACCTTAGGACCTTGAGAAAAGTTAATTAACATGGGGCTTCATTTTCCTTATCTGTGTAAGAAAGCATTTATTCCATAATCTCTTAAGTCCCTGTTCAGCTCAGAGATTGCATTTTGTTGTTTCTTCCCTTACGATCAGAAAGGAGAAAAGAATAGGTGTCAGTGCAGATGGATTTTAGAGAAGATGGTAAGAAATTGAAGAGGCTCATGAATGAAGGCCCTATGGAAGTTTGAGATGATGAATATTCAGTGGCATTAATTTGTATTATCGTTTAATTTTCTGTAATAGTGCTGAATCAGTCGCATAAGCATTGGGGAGTCTATAAAGCGTTATGCTAGTGGATGTCAGCACTTACCCCCCCCCATTAACAGTCACCCCGCCCCTGACTTCAGGGATAGGCCCAATCCTAGCACCTCATCTCCAGCCACATGGATCCATCCATGGGGAGGAGAGAACCACACCAGTGAGAATCTTTGCCTGGATCTTTTCCTACTGGAGCTAGAAGAAAGAATTATTTTCTCTTATCGAGAGACACAAGGGTATGAATAGGTGTTGCTTGTTGTACACATGTTTCTTGCCTAGGAACAAGAACTTGAGGGTGTTCCGGATGGAAAGAGGAGGAGGAGAAAGTAAAATTCCTGAGTCCCTGAGGCCAGCTCTATCCATACATTTTCATAATCTGACTACATTAACTATTAGGTCCCTTTTTCCCTTAAGGTAGTTAGAGTTTAGGTATTTGCCATTTGAAACTAAAAGAAGTCTTAACTAATACAGAGTAAGAGTGGTCAAGAGTTATACAGTATCTATTTCTAGGTACAACAGCACAACAGTGGGGCAAAGAACTTGAAGACATTAACAGGACTGGTGGCAGTGACAGGCACAGTGCCTCAGCTGCGCAGGAGAGCAAGTGGTGACTGTTGGGCTACAGATACAGAGGAACCAAGGGACTTCAGTTCTTTACTGTGCTAAGTAGATAAAAGCATATTAAGTTGTGACAAGGATATATACATGTTGAATGCGTTTGCAAAACACATTCCTTTTGTTAAGAAAAATAATGGATCCACCCATAAAGCACTACAAAGAATCAGGAAAATTCCTTTGTAATTTTGCAATTCAAAGGAATAGGAATGACATGCACCTTTTAGATTTGGCATGCTACAAGAAGAAACCTTTTTTTATTATACACACAGGGAGAGGACTTGACCTACAATATGGCAAGTCTGTGGAATTTGACAAGATATTTTTATAATATATTTTTGTCATGAGATATCTGGCTGATAGAGTAGCAAAAATTTTTAAATATAGAACTTCATTTCTCTTTAAGCAAAATATCCTTGAGGTCAAGGCTTTGAAAAAATTTATTCTAGAGCAGAATTGGATGTATTAGAAAAATTTTAGATGTTTAGATATCATTTTCAACTGTCTATGAACAGATTTTTTTTTAAATCTTTGCTACATCATGAATTACTTAGTGTGATACTGAGTATGATAGTAGCATATAAAGAACCTCTTTAATGATACGTCTTTTTCCAATTACAGTTTCTCAGCCCATTGTGACTTGTGGGTTCAAAATGGCTCATACAAGTAATAGAATCCATTTAAAAGGCATTTATTCTTCAAAAGCCCCCTGAAATTTGAGTTAGATTTCTGTTCTTTTTGCACTTTATGTTCAGTTTCATGAGACATCAGCTATACCATAGGTTGTAGTTTCCAGTAAATTTGAGTTCTTCCAAAAGAATGTCCAATTTATAGCATTATCTTTGTGCCTTGATGTATCCTGTATTTTAATTTGATGGATCATTTCTGTGTTTAAGGACATACACTTTACCATGTCCTGATAAACATGAAATGTGTTCTGATTTTTATTAGCTACCATAATTATTCATTAGTTAAATTGACTAAAACAGCCACACTGGAGAACTTCCTCAGTCTATCAGGATACTGGCTAAGGATACAAATATTGAATCTTAAATAATATAAAATCTGTAACCTAAACACATTTGTACTGAATTTGGAAGTGTATTCCTGAAAGGAGAATCCACTATTGGTGTGCAGTCTTTGTTTACCCGCATATAAACACTTGGATGAGATGTAGTAAGAGGCAGGAGATAGGGATACGAGGCAGTTCCCCTTTTTTCCATCTCAAAGTAAAAGAAGTCTCTGCTAAACCTTAAAGCTCTAATAGGTCCAAGTCCTTCTTTTAGGAAAAATGATCCCATGTCGTCATAACATTATGCATATAGTTATTCTTTTGTTCAATATAATTTACTGTTGCAATTTTATATCCTAGAAATGCATTTGTGTTTTATCATCTTACTAAAATTTAAAAGTAAAGCCAGCTGTGGTGGTATGTACCTGTAGGTCCAACTACTCAGGAGGCTCACGCAGGAGGATCCCTTGAGCCCAAATCGTGCCTGTGAATAGCTACTGCACTCCAGCCTGGGCAACATAGTGAGACCCTGTCTCTTAAAATGTTGTATATATATAAAATAGAGATGCATAGTAGAATTTTCTTGGGTAGTTGTTATGGTGGAACAAGTTGATTGCAAGGACCTTATATGTAATGCCAGAGCTAGAAGAGTCAGGCAGTCTTACACTGACCTAACGTTATTGTTTCCAAGGTTCTAAAGAAGCTTTTTATCCCCTCCTGCACCACACATACACACCAGTATAATTCTCACTTAAATGTAAAGCAGCATCACAATGTTGGAACAATAAAAACTGCTTAAGTCATTGGTATAGAAACTCTATTCTAAGATGCTTTTCCATATCTGGCTTTAGTTCCCCTACCATGTGTATTACTCATTAACTTGCCATGAAAAGTTATATTTATTCCATTAGTGAAAAAAGTATGAGTACTCCAATGTCCAAATTAGTGAAACTACATGACCATTTTTGAATAAGAAATAAAGTGCACTGTCTAATTTTAATCATATCCTAATATTTTACTATGGTGAAATGTAATGCAGTATTGTGTATCTTATTTATAAAAGATGTTGTACTTTGTGAAAGTCTGTTTAATAAAACACTGCTTGCCTTGTGTGCCTTTGTCGTACCTGTATGTTCCTCCCCTTTCCAGAACCTACAGGTTAACTGACAAGGGGTTTCAGGCACATCCCCTCAGGGCCAGGTTATGGGAGAGTTGCCTGATCATTTGCTGAATTCAAGATGTGGAACTTAGAATGAAAAGAATAATTCGATCTTATTTTCTCTCTTTACAGGCTCTGTACAACTCAATCAAGAATGAGAAGCTTGAGTGGGCAGTGTAAGTATGCTGGATGTCAGCCTTTTAATAATGAACTACTCACTTTTTCCTACAGTCTTTCTTTATGCCATGGATGCGATCTTAGAGAAGGATTAAATATGCATCGCCAGTTCTCGTTTTACACCAAGTGTCTTATCTACTTTGTATAAAACCTACGTAAACCATGAGTATCCTGTGTTTTTTTTCTTGGTACTCAATATGCTCTTGTTCTGCTTTTAAACTGGTTGCTATGCCTGTAGGCAATTAATTTTCTTTCTAATGTGTCTTTAAAAGATAGCATTCTAAAAGAAAATCTGTTGATAAATTTCATATATTCCAAAATCGAATATAAATGATCTTGGTACTGCCCAGTTATTTTGTCTCCCTATCATCATAAAACATGGTTTTCCAGTCCTGTTTCCTGTGATACTAATCATACCAGGACACTGGTAGATATTAAGCACACATGCACACAAAGTTTTGTGGATAGATAAGCTTGAGAAATGACGTATTAAATAGAGCTAAAATAATTTTTTTAACTGCAGAACTTCCAGGAGCTTATATAACATCCACATATGTTGTCAATCTCTAAGAGAGGAGTAGTTTGCAGCATTACCTAAATCTATTTGACAGTAAAATGTAGTGTTTCAAGATACATACTTTGAAGAATACTGTTACAGATAAATTATACCTAACCCTATGTAGACCAACAGTACCGTTCTTGTTAAACTTTCATTAATCAATATAGCGGTTAAAAATTTAATTTTTAAAAAATTGTTAAGGAAGAATCTTTACTAAATTTTTAATCAAGTTATCAAAGAATTAAGTCAAAATGGTTTTTTTGAAATTAGAACTACATGTGAATTTTATTTTCGATTTTTATTGATATTAAGCATTCATAAATTTTTTTTTAGCACATGGCCTACATAGCATTCTGCAATGAACTCAGGTTTGCCAAATCATACCTTGAGAGATAAATCATGTTATTTCATATGTACTTTGGGAGAATATGGCTTAGCAGTTGACAACATCTCACATATAATATGGTGGAATGAATTTAAAAAAATCAGTACTTCTTGAATTGTTCTCATTAACTGTAGGGTCATATAGTACTATTTTAAGTTAGGGAGTCAAAGTTTATAAGACTTTTAATATTTGCATGTATATGTAATGTCTTATGTGTCTGTGTATATACATGGTGAGACTCATTTAAAGACATTTAAATCCCATTTCAAGGGATTATTTTAAGAATTCATGGTCTAAAATCCAAGGTGATAACTTTTCTTTGGACTTATCTATCATAAATGAAAGTGGGTTTCCTAGAAAACTTTTGAATGATAGAATCTTGCTGAAATGTTAAAGGAATATCCTGACCTGTGCAGAATATATACTCTAGAGAAAATTAATAAAAATGAAATAATTATATTCACACTGGTGGAGAGAATATTTTGAGGATTCTTTTTTTGTTGTTGTTGTTTGAGACAGAGTCTCGCTTGTTGCCCAGGCTATAGTGAGTGCCGTGGCATCAGACTAGCTGACAGCAACCTCAAACTCCTGGGCTCAAGTAATCCTCCTGCCTCAGCCTCCCGAGTAGTTGGGACTACAGGCACACGCTACCATGCCCGGCTAATTTTATATATATATATTAGTTGGCCAATTAATTTCTTTCTATTTATAGTAGAGATGGGGCCTCGCTCTTGCTCAGGCTGGTTTCGAACTCCTGACTCCAGCAATCCACCCGCCTTGGCCTCCCAGAGTGCTAGGATTACAGGCATGAGCCACCGCGCCCGGCCGAGGATTCTTTTATGAGGTTATTTTACGAGGCAAATAAATATACTCTGGAAGACCTGTTTTGTACTCCACATTTTTTTATGTTGCATTTGTTACAGTAGATTTAATTATGTGTTTATGTATAGTTGGACATTGAGGCAAGAAAGCTATATATTGGGTCTTATCCAAGGATGGAGGGATGGGCGTTTATGCAGGAACTGGATTCTTCTGTGGGCTTCTTGTAAAGTCAGCAGAGCGTCTCGTTGAGGAGCCCAGATTTCAGAATCAGATAGATATTGGGTTGAATTCTAGCTCTTTCTTGTACTAGCCGAGTCACTTGTCAAGTTAACTTCTATGCCTCAGTTTCCTCTGTAGTAAGATGGAGCAATTATTGAGCCTCTTAGAACCCCCAGGATAACACTGAAATGTTCTAAACACTAAATGTAAAGTGAGTTATCCTTCAGTTAATGTCTAATGCTACAGCTTTATAAAGCACTGATTTCTTTTTTCTTTTTATCTCTGTCTCTCTATGCTTATACATATACATATATTATAAATACATTCTTATACTTTATCAATAATTGGAATAAAGTACTATAGTAGTTTATCATGTAATTAACTTTCTTCACCTATTAAAATAAAGAAATTGGATGAAATGATCACAAATATCCTTTCCAGTTCTAATATTCTATAAATTTCTGGATTTTCCTATATATCAGTGTTTCTTAAACTGATTTCCTGTAGAAAGAGAACTGCTATATCCAACAAATTTAAAACAAAAAGTTTATGGGTCAAATGGATCTTGGAATAAATTCTAGTTTAAACAAAGTTGAACAGATATCTCTATTACTGGCCTGTTCATTTGTTAACAATCTGATATACATTTTGAATTTCTACAGAGAATAAAGGGCCAGTACCCCAACTGTTAGGATCACTGAGTCTTATATTGATCATAAAGGAGCTTTTAACATCTATGAAAACTAGTGTTCTTTAGAACAGGGGCCCCCAACCTATGGTCAGTGGTATAATTATTTCGTTACATATTACAATGTAATAATAAATAGAAGTAAAGTTCACAATAAATGTAATGCACTTGAATCATCCCAAAACCATACCCTTCCGTGGAAAAATTATCTTCCATGAAAACAGTCCCTGGTACCAAAAAGGTTGGGGACTGCTGCTTTAGAACACAGTGATAGATATCAATTTATGTGATCCTTTAGATCAGGACCTAAGCTTTTTCCTTGATAAATGTGTGCTCATGGGTATAATTATTTATAATATAAGACCATGTTTTCCCAGTTCTCCTTGTACCTCTCCAACCACTGTTTCTCTGACTCATTTTCCTCTTGTCCATTTATGTTGGTGCCTCCCTGCAGTCAACACTTAGATTATCTTCTTTCAATATAATCTTTCTCAGCAGTCTCATTCATTCTTACAACTTCATCTGCCATTTCTGTAAAAATTCTTCCTAAATATGTATACAGCTCTGTCCTCTTTCTCAAAAGTTTCAATTTGCTATTCGTATTGTCCTGCAGGGTGTCTCTCATGCCACTGTCTGTCTCCAGACTGTGTGGTGTGTTCTCCATTTCTGTTAATGACACCAGCATTTTCCAGCTTACCTGGCTTTTAGCCTCTGCGTCATTGTTGGCTCCTCCCACGCCACCGCTTTACTGCTGCAGAAGTGGCTCCAAGCAGTGCCTTTCTTCTCTGCTCCTGCTGCCATTCCTGCTTCTTTAATTTTTTTTTCAGGCATTCATACTCTTTGCCTCCTAATAAGAGCCTCTATCTAATGTCTTTCTCCTATACTTGAACCTGTATAAAGTTCTTCTGTGCTGTAATGCTTCACTTAGGCCTTGCACATCCTGCTAGTAATCCATATTATTCCCCATTATTGTCTTCACACAGCCCCTGTTTCAACAAAGCTGCCCCTACGTGCAGTTCCCTGTGCTTGTCCCTTGGCTTCCTTCTTTTTTGCCCACTTTCCTGAAGTGACCTCTGCTTGGAACCTATATCCCTGCAGTCTTTCTGTGTTCAAAGCCTACCATCCTTAATAGCCCAGTTCATATCACATTCGTTCCTTGAAGTCTTTCCTGATCTTACCAACCAGAAATCATCTCAGCCCTTAAGCATCTATTTGACTTTATCTGACGACACCATGGGTTTCTGTTCCCCAGTTATTTGCAGTTATGTGCCATTACACTGTAAGCTCTTTAAGGAAATGATATGTGTCCGGATGTGTCCCTTGTCTCCTCCTTTGCTGATCATAGTACTTACATGTAATGAAGGCTTCATAAAAAGCTATAGAGAGAATATTAATGATAATGCAAGGAACTGCGTTTCTTAAAAGATAAGACTACAATTGTGTAGTTTAGAGAATAGTTATAGGAAAGATGATGCTACTACAAAATTTGCAGGGCAATATATATTACAGCACTTGCATGGGGGGTATCTTGATGTTGATTTTAAAACCTTAGAGGAAATCCAGTGATGGAATCATGGAATGTCAAACTGGAGGGACCTTAGAAGTTTTTAGTTGATTGGTTTTCTAACTGTTTCCATGGAGCTCTAGAAGTCCAAGGAGATAACTCGGGGGCCTCCCTATGGTTTCTTCCCCACTGATGACTGAGGGGAGAGGGAGAAGTTGATGGGAACCCAGTTCTGCCTCCCACAAGCATCAGGCCTATTTCAACTGACCAAAGAAGCTACACTTTGATCTTTTTTGAATATATATTTAGAATCCCATTTAATATTTCTTTTAAGGTATCTATACTTTTAAAAAAATTTAGTCCAACGCTCTCATTTCATATATGAGGAAAATAAGTCAAGAAGCATTCAGCAGCAGGTCCACAGTCGCACAACTAGCATGGTGGCAAGGCCAGGATTTGTGTCCCCAAGAGTTCTGGCTGCCCATGGCAGCACCATGTTGCCTGGCTTCTTTGTAGCCATACAGTCTTATAAAGTGTTTGGAGAGCAGGAATTGTATCTGAGTGTTTCTGTGCCAGCTTTTAATACAGTGCAAATTAAGAGTTTTATAACAATTTGTTAGTCTCATTAAATGTTCATAGATTTGCTAGTGTTTTTCCTTCAAGCAAGTTACGTAACAAGGATCATTCATTCCTTAGTCTTAAACAGCAGCTTCTGTTCCTGGCCCAGGGTGATGCCCTAGATACAAATATGAGTAAGACACGTCTTTCCAAGTTCCTTGGCTCAATTGTTTATTATTTGTAAAGCATCTATTTGTTGAGCTA